TGCCCCGTGCAGGGCGCTCCTGCCCCCAGCTTGTTCAGCTCCGCAGGTGAATTGCCTCTGACCTTTTCTTACCAACCAGTTCCTCTGGGAAATGCCGCTGTTTGGCTCAGGAGCTGCCAGTGCTCCCCCATGAGCTCTCCAGGAGGGCCGAGCTGGGATCCCACCTTTCTAGAAAAGAGGAATTCTTTATTTCTCACCATATATAGCACCAGTAGCAGGCTTAGCTCCAATGTGTGGCTTTGCAGCCTGTCTGGGGGACAGAATTCTTCCATATAAGCCTCATTTTATACTTGCAACATGATGTTGCAGAAAGTTAACACTGTGAGCAGGTTGCAGCTTGGCTGGGCACGTGAACCAAGGCTAGAGCACTTGTACTGGGACCAAACAGAAAACAAAGAAGGGTGGGAAGGCGGCATGGGGTGCATGAAGGTGCTCTGGACTGGGGGGGTCAGGATGGCACTGGCTCTGCGAGAGCAGATGGGGCTGGAAAAAGCGATGTCGCTTTACAGCGTGTCCCTCTTGTCGCTGCTGGCAGGGCCGGGATGCTGGGGACCAGCACATCGTTGATGTGGTCCTGAAGATGCTGCAAGGTGAGCGGGCAAGCGGGGCACCGCTGGCTGGGCGGCTGTCACCGCATCCCATCCCACACCGGCCTCTCTCTGCCTTACAGAGCAGCTGGCAGAGGTGGCGGTCAGTGCCAAGAGAGCTGCCCTGGGTGGAGTTGGTGCCATGGGCCCCCCTGGACCCCCCGGTCCCCCAGGGCCACCCGGTGAGCAGGGCCCACATGGACCCATGGGACCCCGAGGCGTCCCTGGCATCCTGGGCGCTGCTGGGCAGATTGGCAACGTAGGACCTAAAGGTAGGTGGTGGGTGGCCGTACCCCCACCATACTGGACAAAAATCCTCCGAGGGGCTGACCTTGCCTCCTCCTGCCACACTTGTCCCCCACCTCAATCCCTGAGCAGGGTCTGTGTTTCCCGCTGAGGCTCCAGCGAGTCCTTCCCTCCCTGTTTCTTTCCCCACAGGGAAGCGAGGCGAGAAGGGCGAGCGGGGAGAAGCTGGCCGTGGCCACCCGGGCATGCCAGGTCCCCCGGGGATCCCAGGTAAGCCCTTCTCCCCCCCCAGCACAGAAGGGCAGGCAGTGGCGGGTCCCCACTGGGCAGCAGCAGCCCCTGTGTGCGATGACGAGCCCAGCAGGGTCTCGGGACCTTCTGGTCCATCCCTGCAAACTTGCACGGCTTCATCTGACACCTCTCCAACCTGTAGCACCCTTTGCTGCCTCCGGCTCTGCCAGCCGCTTTCCTGGCCCCTCGGTGTTGCTCGCTTGCTGTGCTGCTCTGCTAACCCATCCCCATCCTCACCAGCAGCTTTTCCCACACCCCAGCCCCTGCTCTGCTCCGGCAAAGGCTGGGCTCAGCACCCGCAAACGCGGCACGCACACACCCGCTGAGGGCCACGCTCCCGTTGCAGGTCTCCCCGGCATCCCCGGCCATGCACTTGATGGCAAGGCCGGTGAGCGAGGTTTGCCAGGCTCCCCGGGCGAGGCTGGCCGGCCGGGCTTGCCCGGTCCCGCTGGCCTGACAGGGGTTTGCGGGCCGGCCGCCTTCCTGGGAGCCTCGGCATACGCCGCCGCACGCCTGACAGAGCCAGGGGCTGTCAAGGGACCCATCTACTGAGGAGGTACCGGCACCGCAGCAGACCTGGCCGCGGCAAACCCATGCCAGGGCTGGCAGCAAAGTGACCAGAAAACTGCAAATCCGTAGGGAGCAACCTCTGCCCATCCCGGCTGTGGGAGGGCGCTGGGCTCGGGGTTGCTGCTGGAGGGGAAACACAGCCTCGGGAATTTAATTTGGTGTAGGTGTCACCCCCCTCCCACAGCTCAGGGGACAGTGAAGAATAAGGAGAGGTCACCCCAAGGCCTGTCCTCATACTTGGGGTTTGCTAACTGCCCCCTCTGCCCATCCTCTGCTCCCTGTGCCCCTTCCCAAAGAAATAAATTGTCTTTTATACAAACCCTCTCACTCTGTTATGTCCTGCTTGGTGCTGAATTGGCTCTTTGCCAATCTCCTTTTTGTCCTTTTTTATAAAACAAAAACAAAATTGTGGTTTGATTATTTAAGAGACTTGCCAGACCCAGCCTTGCTCACTGCTGGGCACTCACAGAGCTGTAAATCTTTGTAAAATAGGATTGTTTTATAACTATGAATATAAAAACACCAACTTTTTAAAAAATGGACAATAAAAATGAGATGGACTGTTAATGAAGTGACATGTTGATTTCTTCAAATCAAACCAAGACTGTACTGGTGTGGGGGGGGGTGTTATTGAGGACCGAAGTTAGTTTTTTCTGTTATTTCGAGCCCCTCATTGGGAGTCTCAATTGCTCTTTTGCATTTTTGGGGACAATTTCAGCCTCTCAATAAGTTTATTGAGCAAAAGCTCCTTCTATTTTCCCCTCTACCACCACAAACGCGCAGAGGAATTCACCACCCCCGAGCCCCGCCGTGTCAGACCAAATTTGCCAGAAATGCATCAAGCACCTTCAACAAAGGCCAAGTCAGCCCGAGTCCCCCTGCAATCAAGTGGGCCAGAAAACTATTAGCAGCATTGCAAAGGGTATCGATCTCTTAATAGTTAAAAAGGAGGCCTGTGGCTCTAACAGGATCCGCAGGTGTCTTTCTCATTATTGCCATCGACAGCAGCAAGGATTAAAGCTGCGCGGCGGGAGCAATGGGGCTTCGCTTTGTAAGATAAATAAAAATCAATTTTTGTTTATTAGCAAAGCATGTTCGGCTTGGCAGGGTAACAAATCCCAGGGAGCGGTGGTGGGAGGGGCTGGCTGGGTCCCTCCTGCAGCACACACCATCGCTGCCACCAGCGCCAGGACCGCTGGCAAACCGCAGCCAACCCGGAGCTCAGCCCCACCGGAGGGGTCTAATCCTGGCAAGGACCAGATCCCACCCCGGCAGATCCAGCACCATGTGCTCTTCCCTCCCCCATGCACCTCGCTGTGCAGCAGTGCGTTTTCCCCTATGGATCCTTGTCTGTCACCGTGTCCCCAGACCCTTCGGAAGTGTCCTGTACTCATCCTCCATTTAAATTACCTTCTCTGTGCCCTTTTGCAAACCGCTGCCTTGTCACTTAATGTGCAATCAGCTAACATTAAGGGGACAGTCTTTTATTAAAAAAAATAATTTGGAAGTGAATTGCAAATGTTTTATTTGCAAGTTGGAATTTAATCAAGGAATTAAGAAGGCTGCATATTAATTAGGGGCCAGACTCTAGTTGTTTCCAATGAGTGGCAAACATGCTCCGAATCTGCCTCTTCATCAGAGCCCTCATAAATATTCATCCAATAAATAGCAGATTGGATGCCATTAAAGAGACAAGAGAGATTGAAACCCAAGTATCTGTGGAAATGAAACAGCTGGAAAGCGTCCAATCTCTGCCCCAAATAATAACAAATCATTATTAGGAGAGGTGAAGAAATAGCCCTGGTGAGCACTTGTTTCCATTTCTGGACAAATAGGGAGGTTCGACCTCATTCTTTTCAGGGGGGAATTCAGGTTATCAAACCCCTTCGGGGACAGCCCGAGGCTGGGCTTGCCCAGGGCTCCAGCTGTGCAGCACATCTGGGGCTGCACCCCAGCTCCGCTGCCCAAATCAGATCTTTAGCTTTTTTTTTCTTCCCCCACGAGAGGGAGCTGCCAGCCCGCTGAATCCCCCTCTTCCCAGGCAGCCCACGCTTGGGCTGTTACCACTAAAACCAGTTTTTACCCTTGGCAGAGGCTCGCTGCGGGGGGTGTGCGTGCGTGTCCCCCTCCCCAGGCTGCGCCTTGCGAGGGCTGCGCTCTCCCCTTCTCTCTGGGGGGTGGAAAGGGTGAACCCCACCTTGCTCAGCCACTTCCCACCTCCAGGATGAACATGCTGGGAGAAGGGAACAGGTTTGCTGCAGGGACATCAGTACAAGGAGGGCTGGGAGCTGAAGCTGTGGTCCTGGAGCAGGGACAGGCCGTTTCCCAGGGAGTGCCCAAGGGCTGCTGGAGGCAGGAAAGGTGCCGCTGTGCCTGCAGAGGGTCCCGGCCTGCCCAGGAGGACGCAGGGTTCTTTGCAAGAAGCCCAGAGGTTCCTCACTCTTGCACCCAAGCACGCACATCCCCAGGCAGGGCTGGCTGGGAAAAGTGCTCCAGCAGAGTCAGGGACACTGGTCTTGCTGACCCACTGCTGTTCAGAGCCACACACGGCCTCCCAAATGTGCCGATTGTGGTGGTGGCTGAGCTCTCCCTGAGCAAGAGGCAGGTTTGACCTTCGGCGGGCTACCGTGCTCCCTGGCCACAGCCCGGGAGGTGCTGCAGGGCAGGCACAGCTACTGTTGGGTTCTGTGCAGCCTCACAAGTCGGAGGTTGGCCAGGCCAGTGTCTGGGAAGATCAACAAGTTCAGGTTTTAATTAAAGTGCCAAGAAAGCAGCTGTCCGGAGCTCTTCCTCTTTTCTCTCCCACCTCCCAAGTTTGACATGGTGGGTTGTGCTGCAGGTGGGGCTGCAAGGAGCCAGCCCAAGTCCTCGCCACCTCGCCTATCTCACCAGCCTTGGTGATACACAGCAGCTGAGAGCAGCCCAATCTGTTTACTGTCCCCAGTTGTTCAAACATCAGGGACTGGGCCACAGCCAGTCACGCCTTATTTTCAAAGCAAATATATGTGTAATCTTTTAAAATTATTTCAAGGGGTTTAAGAAACTGCTCCCAAGCTTGTCCCTGCAGCTACAAAGGCTCCAGAAACACAAAGGCGTGGAAACAAGCATCATCATGTGGTTTTCATGTGATGTGAGAGACAAAAGGGAAGAAATAAAAGGAAATCAAGGTGGATCCCTTCGGGGTCGTACCAACTGCCCCGCTGGGCCTGCTGAGACCTCCTGCAAGAGTCACAGCTTTCATCCTCTCCCCCTCTCCTCAGAAAGCCGTGGGAAAACAATAAATGGAAGTCCAATTTCTGTAGCCTGGAGTAATTAGGGGGCCTCTGATTACTACCATTCAAAGCTGACGAGGCTGGCGTTGGCTGCAGTTCGCATTTGGACAAGCACCACTTGTTCCACTCCGGGGCCACGTGCACCACTGCTGCAGCTGAATGTGCTATTCGTGCTCCGACACGGCCCTGGCAGGAGGCAGCCACAGCTCCCTTCCATCCCAGCGGAGCCCTGAGCAGCAGAGACTCTTCCCACGCATGCCGTCAGGAGAGGAGAAACCCACCTGCACGGCTCAGGAGAGGGGACATCCAGCAGAGAGGGTGGGATCCACCATCTCATGGGCCACCCTTGCCCATGGGAAGGGCTTTTCATCCCTAGCAGAGCATTGCCAAGAGGAGGCATTGCTGCCTGCTTGGTTATCCCCAGTCACTTTACCAGCATCATCCTCGCATCCCACCCCGGTGACATTTCTGCGGCACAGGGGCCACCGCATGTGCCCATGGCGAGGGGCGGCCCTGCCGCATGAATAATTCAGGGCAATGAGAAAAAAGTTGCCTTGAGCAAGCTAATGCATTGATTAGACCAAATTGCCTCCCTCACTCTCGAGGAGGTAAAAATGAGCTAATCACCGTTTGTTCTCTCTTGATAGATGATTAACCACAAATTAGAATATTAAACAGAGGACTTTGGGTACGTAAATTAACAGCTGAGAACTAAGTTAATTATTGGAGGAGCCATAAAACTGCTTATTTTTATTCTTGGATTATTGTTTGATGTTTTTGCCTTTTATAAAGAGGCAGTTATTTTTAAAATGGCTTGCTCTGCTGCTTGTGGCCAGGAGTGCTGGGCCAGCCAGGACACACAGGGTAAATGAATCTCACGCTCCATCAGCAGTATACAGGGGAAATTAATCTCCCCTCTACTCCAGGGAAGGGTGCTGCTAGCCCCATCCATGCTCCACGGGCAGGATGCCCTACGCTGGGACAAGCAGGGTGCCCCAGGGCCATGCAGCCAGCTGCAGAAGCTGGTCCTGCTTCTCCAAAGAAAAGGTCAAATTTGGATACCGGCTCTACCCAAAGAAGTGACAAGACTCCTCCAGAGCAGGGACACAGCAATATGGTGTGCAGGGAATTAACTTTGTTAATAGCCCATTCATTTAAATGTAAATGGTGAGCCTGGCTTATATAATGAGGCTGGGAAATCTTATTAGAGACCAAATTAAAGGTTTGTGGGTGAGTACACGCAGGAGCGGGCCTGAATGTGAGATAGGGGCTGCCAGGGGGAGAACATGGGCATGGGTTTGCACCCCGTCAGAAAGCAAACATCCTGGGAGGGAAGGGTGGATTTGGGGTTAGATGGATGCTGGAGGCAAGACATGGGGCATTAATGCCTGCCCTTACAGCTCTGTGCCTGTCCCATGGCTGGTGCCTGCAGCATCTGGGGCAGACAGGGCAGGAAGGGGCTGGGGGGTTGTGCCACTGACCCCTTAGGGGCAAAGCAAGAGCCCTACATGTAACTGGGGCCAGCCCATAGGCCCTCTTGTGCAGAGCAGGGCAAGGTCTCCCGTCCTCAGAAGGGGTGGGCACCGCCTGAGCCCACACCGGGGGGATTTCAGGGCTGGCAAGAACCTCGAGCGAGATGCTGCTGCAACGAGCCCCTTGCGAGCAGCCCCGTTCCTCTCTGATTTCAATTAGCGGTGCCAACCGTGGCAG